CCGCCGGCGGGTCTCCTGCCGGGACCTGGGCCGGGTGGACTGTGATGGCTGGCTCCTGAAGAAGAAGGACCACGTGGCTTTCATGGCCCAGAAGTGGAAACGGTGCTGGTTTGTGCTGAAGGGCCACACGCTCTACTGGTACCACCACCCCAACGTGAGTGGGGATGCTGGGTGTCCTCGACCCCCACGTGGGGCAGCTGAGGTGGGTGGTGAACGTGCCTGTTCCCCCCCTCTCAGGATGAGAAGGCTGCAGGACTCATCAACGTGGCCACCTACGACCTGGAGAGCACGAGGGAGCAGAAGAAGAAATAGTGAGTGGGGTCTGTCTCACCGTGGACCTCCCGGCTGGTGGTGGAGGAGGGGGATGCTGTCCCATGGGCTGATGTTGATGAGACCTGCTGGGTACCATCTGCATGTCCCTGTGGGGTGCCCATGGGGTTGGTGGGGTCCCTGCAGGGCTGGTGGGACAGGAAGCCATGCTCTGAGCAAGACGTGCGTTGTGCTACTGGTGTTACCTGGGGCAAGGCTGAGGGCTGGAGCACCTCTGACAGCAGGGCAGAGCCCAGACCCTGGGGGTGGGTCAGGATGAGGGGCTGTGGTGCTGGGGAGGCTCAATGGGGGCTCTGGTGCTGAGTAACCACAGCAGCAAAGGCAGCTGCCCACTTCTCCTCCTCCTCCAGCGTGTTCCAGCTCTCCCACCAGAGGTACAAGCCCTTCATCTTCGCTGCAGAAACGTTGGCTGATTTGAGCATGTGAGTAACGTGCTGGCTGTCACACCAGTCCCACCACACCGGGCTGGCCATGACCCCCTGTCTGTCTGTTTTGTCGTCTTTGGCTTTCCCCAGGTGGGTCAGTCGCCTGATAACAGCCAAAACAAAGCATGCGCTGGCCAACCAGTCAGTCCCGGACAGGGAGGAAGGTAACAGCCCCTTCCCAGGGGGGGAGTGGGGGCCAGTTCCCTGCATTGAGCTGGGGATTCTGCGAGGGGATGGGGGGTGGGGCAGCCATGGCTGGTGCTGCAGCCCCTGACCAGCAGCTTTGCCTGTGATTTGGGGGAAATGGGAGAAATGCTCTGTGAGAGGAGGGTGATCCTCAGCCCTGGGGGGGCCTCCTGGGATTTCCTGCTCCCACCGTCCTCCCCGTGGCCTCCAGATTGTTACAGTGAGACAGAAGCAGAGGACCCCGATGAGGAGTCCCCCAGGCATGGAAGTGACTCGGTGAGTGGCCCTAGGGGACATGCCGGGGAGGGGACAGAGGATCCTCATCTCACCTCCTGCCTCATAGGCTGCAGAACACCCCGGACAAATCCCAGCTCTTCCCAGCCGGTGGTGAGCCCAGCAGTGCAGCCAGTAGCCCCCAGGGCAGCCCCCGGCCCTGCTCGCCCATGGGTAGGTGACATCAGTCACCCTGTCACCTTGTGTGCACCGTTGAATCGAAGTTAGGGCCACCCTTTGGCACGTGTGGGTGTGCTGGGGGGATAACTCAAGCTGGGGGGTGTGGGTGTGTGAACCACGCCGCCTCTTGGGATGCTCCTGGGGCAGGGTCCCTTGGGGAGTTTCGGGGCAGCCCCACGGGGGTTTC